TACTATGTATGGAGTTCGAGGCAGCATTCCTTCTTCATAATTGCGAAGCTTGGCTTTTAGGATCTCACGGACAAAATTAGCAACCTTGAATTACTGCTTTTCTCATTAACTTTGAAAAACCCCGCATTTAATCCCAAAATATTTGGAGTCCAGCGATGTACATCATGCAACCTGTTATGACAGTACAGTCATAATTGGATTAAGTCTGCTCACCTGTAGTTGGCTTTAGTACAGTATTCACCAGTTTAGCACTCGTCATTAGTTTTATTTACCAATTTAAGTTTTCGAAGATATTGTAAACCTTTTTTGAAAGCTAATTTAGTTTTAAGCTCACGTGATCCGAAAATGCCTATACATTCGACTGGACGTTTTTACGTTGTTCTCCACAATATTTTGAAAATACTTCGCCTCACCTGGCAACTTCGCCTGGATAAATGAAGTCTGACACTAGAAACCTATTACGCACTTAGCATTTTTGATGCGACACTATTATAAAGTACTTATTCTTCAAGTAGTTTTCGAAGCATGATTAGTGTCGATGAGTATTAGGGGATTACTTTAAACATAGCCGTAGTATCTATACGGCATGCATCTTCCAGACAGAAAATAACGCCCTTCTAAGTAATTTTTCCGGGTTGTAATTTGTATGCTGATTGACACTGCCTGTAAAAGTTTGCAAGACAGTTTAGTGCAAACTGGTGCCGGACAGTTGCGTTCTGAAATTTCTCTCAATAAATCACCGCTTGTCATTTACCCTTCTCACTTCAGAACACGCTCAAAAAATGACTATCCCGACATAATTGAGGAACATGTTGAATCCACCCTCCATCAGGATAACATGACGGCTTTTATCACGCTATTTCTCTTCGAATTTTGGCTTCTCTGTGCCAGTCTCCCACTTTCAGTCGATCCTGGCTCAGGAAACGGAGGTATGTTAACCTGTTTATCATCGGCTAATGGCCTGAAGAAAATATTGTATATTCAAGGGTTGGATCGACTGTCTCATTACCCTGTTCAAACGACTCTTTACCAAACGACGCGGAGTCTGTCTGGTCTGGACCAGCTTTAAATGAAACTCAAGTGTTGAATACCGAGGTTACCACAAAGGATTATATTCTGACAAAAAATCTTATTACCTTCGCCAACATCTCTCAAGACGTCTCTGGCGTGTATAACTGCACGGTGTATTTCGCCAACGGTACTATCACCTTCCAAAGGGAAATCAAAGTCTTAGGTATTTTTATTTTTCTATGTGCTCAGTTTTTAGACTGGCCTCTTCTGCCTCAATCCATCGTTCTCGAAAAAGTGAATGAGACAGCAATACGAATTTCACGATTAGGTGAGGAATATGCGGCTTCAACTCAGGTCCATGAAATTAGTATTTTGAAGGGGTACGTTGTTTTCACGTAAAACTTTACACACTTTTGTCAGTGAGATAGACTTTCGGATAGCTAGTTTTCACAAAAGTATGTTTGTATCATTCACCACTTTTTCCAAAGACTATAAGCGAGAAGATGTTTATTATATTCAACTTGTGGTGGTCGAGAGTCAGAAGAGACTTCAGTCATTCAGATATCTATCTATCGGGTTACAGTACATTCTCGTTCCGTTGCACCGTGCGATTCAGTCTACAGCCCTTACAGGCAGTAACCAGTTGCAGCAGTTACCAGTAAGGCATGCAGGAAGAGAATTCTGATGAGGACAAAGAATACGGAAATGGCCATTTCTGGCTTCTTTGCCGTCATCTGCCAGCACCCCCTACAAGCCAATCTTACCGACCACACGCGACTATACAATAGACTTGTGACCTGACAAATGTTAGACTTAAATGTTCCACAATCAAATAGTCTGGCCTCGACTCCCAAGTTCTCGAAACTTGGTCGTGTATGCTGGTTAGTGATGATTAATAAGCCAGAAGTGACCCTTCCGGTTTCTCTTCTTTGTCGTTAATTTCTTCCTGCCCTCCGATATTGTTATGTGACAAAAAATGAACTCCAAATAGCTATCCTTGAATATGTTTCTTTGGGTTGTAAGCCGTTCGTACTTTTTGGGTACTTTCACCAGTTAACTTCAAGGCATTTGAATTTGAGTGTTGCGGTACGTCCAAAAAAGCATTTATTCTGAATAATACTGCGCTACCTTTATCCGGCGTGTAGCATGTGCTACCCTGCATAATTTTTCCAAAACTCTGACTTCTGATTTACTAGTCAGATACTTCACCTCTAGAGTAGTATGCAACCAAGTCGCCTAGTCACTGTCGTTTACCGACGACGTAGCCTCAACAACCAGATATCAGACTTCGGCACAGTCTATCGTGTATGTACTTCCTACCATTTTTATTGCCTTTGCTCCCAGTTAACAGAATAGTCAGCGATTGCCCATGTTTGGCTAGGTTCCAATTGTCTGAGTACACAAACATAAGAATATTGAATAAGGCCT